TATATATATATAATACCTGGTGACGTGTATTTTTTGCACAGGATTTGCGATACCTTCGGATCTGGATTTGATCTGACATTGAAATCGACAACTTGTCTGGATAATGGGTATGCTCCGTGTGCGAGTGTATATTTCGAACTGCCTGAGTCAGATTTCTGAATACGGTTTCTCCCTCATGCTCGATAGCTTTTTGGATGCGTTTGATACATTTGGGCATCTGCATGAAGTTTACGGATTTTAGGTGTGGAAACAAATCGATTTTAGTTTCTGTGCTTCTGGTGACGGGTGCACTATTGTAATTTAGCGACTTTAATCAATTGTAGTTCCCAAGCCAGGTTTTGATTTGTAAAACCAGATACTTGTGACCCTCGGGAATTGATTACACTTTTCAGCATAGGAATGAGTCCTAATTTGTGCGGGGTTGAATCGCACACTTGCCTTACTATGTATTGTTACAAACAACGTTCAACCGATACTATCAACCAAGGTGTGTTTCATATAAAACTCATCCTATCAACCAAGGTGTGTTTCATATAAAACTCACGCTTGATTCCAAACGATAATTACAAGTACACCTAGTGCAATGGATGATGTGGAGTACAAAGTAGGCGTAGAGGTACGTGCCGATGTTTAGTATATATCACTGCTGCACCTACTGATTTTTGATACTTTCGGGCCGCGCGCTTGTAGGAAGTAAGCGATGTTAAAAGAGTTTCAATATCATTTTTCAAAGGCTCGTGCATCTGTAACGGGCTCACAGCCCAAGACGCAGTCATCTTCGTGCAGATTTTTGTATTGATGGTATATACCCACATGATGTCACCTGATAGTCTTATAAGAGAGCCAGAAAACCGTCGTGATGCACAGGCCATTTAGTTTCGTACCCGATCCTGTGCGGTACCTACACCAATTTTTCATATGTATTATATTCATCGTATACATCAATTATTGGGTTCACGTGGTCGATCTCAGTGAATCGACGAATGTGGCACTGGGAGACTTCCACAGACGGCAGAACAGGTACACTGCAGCGATTGAAAGCTCCAAGAACGGTCCTGTGCTAGAGGGATCTATAACACACTACAATAACAAGGTAATGCTTTCATTTCACGGTTCCACATTCAAGTGCAAAATATGGAGCTTAAGTAAAGCATCATGATAAGGGTATTGTATATTGTTTTGTACCTAATGTGTTCATAAAAAGTTCGTTTGTGATTTCCGAAGTGCTTATACTCGATTGGTGGCCTATAGTGGGCGAGGTACGGAATAGTCTAGTATTCAGTCCTTTTCAAGTGTGATGACTGAATACTCGACACACTTTTCCGAACTAGCTCTTTTTTTAATGTTGACGTGCACACCTTCTAAAACGTAAGCTGAGGAACAACTTGGTTATGAAGGGTGCTGTGATGCAAAGCAGAATTTGGGTACTTGGGTATTGAATTGTATCGCCTATTTGTTCCCTTTCAAAAAGAGGGATTCATTCGAGCATTCGTGGCTCCTATATTAAACTTTTGGATCGGTCGCAAAAAACAAGTTCACGGATAACACCGTGGGACACTGCCATACTTGTGTAGTATCTAGTCACAAATCAGTCTGTGTTTGATTTTACCTGTCCTACATTTAACTAGTGTTGCTGTCTATCCCATTGCAGTTCTAACTGTTTTACGATCTAAACCGATATACTATACCCCCCCCACTCAGGGCATAGTGGTAGGTATGAGTCTTAGACTCACACCCCAACCGAACACTACGGTCGCACACGCCGGCTGTAGGACGACACTCTTCCGGGGAGTTCATGTGACCGCACATGCACGAAAAACAATAGACTGGGGATCGACGACCGCTACAACCAATAAGGGATTGATGACTCATCCACGTGTGGAAGTGGGAGCGGAGTGGATGTCAGCTTTGGAAAGGAAGATTGGTTCTTTTACTAAGGCGAGTGTACATAAATCGTATGCGCGCGTATGAGTTCGGGTTATATGTATATATGTGTGTATTCACCTGACGGGACGTTCACAATCGAACCTTGACCTAAAAGTATAAATTCATCTAGAATAGGTTGATCCGTCAATCAAATTCACTGAACTATGATTACTCGCTTAATTGATATTCAACAGGGTCATATCGGTGGTGTGGTTGATGCTGAAGAGGGGTCTCAAATAGCGGTCAATGCTATTCATTTTTTCAGGACCGGGCTCGGAGTACGGGTAAGCCGTTATGCAACCAAAAAAGAATAGATATGTGTAATTAAATACTTTACTATACTAGTGACGTACACCATATACCATCAATATGGCCCTTATCTAAGAGGCAGTGGTTCTCGCTCGTGTACTATGGATGTATATCTCGCGTCTGGATGTGCCAATCCTACCTGCGATATCTATTGAGCAACTTCTTCGTGTTGTGACACCTAACATGACCGGATTTCTACACGCTCATCTGTTGAATGCTCTTATACTTGTACTGTACTCGGCCGTTGCTTGGTGATCTCACCACTCATTTACATAAATCGCCAGGTGTCATTTTTGTCGCACTCCAATACATAAAGCATTTGCTTCATGTAATTCCTAGTATCAGATATAGTATATTTGTTGTACCACCCCAACATGTGACACAGATAGTGCGTCCCAAAGTCCCAATCACCGCCTATAGGGGTGGGACTCGGAATCGGGTATTAATTACAACGTTGCAGTAGAAGTCGTCCGATTTATTTTGACTGTCGTTTGTACAATTGTACTGTGTCTGATTTTTTGTGCAAGATGACCGACGTGATCGCCATCCATTTCTTCCCACTCGTCGTTACAGTCTCAGCCAAACATAGCTAACCACTCGCTTCGTATTTCATTCTCTTGTCACTTTTGCATAGGGTCGGATTGTGTCAGACTTGTCATACAGCAGTATCTATATGACCCTGGGTGTCGCGTGCCAGGTGCGCCGAGGACTGGATGTGACGTGGGATGCCACTCTCAACGCATTGGCTATGACTCAGGACATGTCGCGCATGTCTTTAGGTATTCGAATGTACTCGTGAACTTGTCACACTTTGAAATGAAAATAAATAGAATCACTGTAGTGTTATAGCCTTCTATTTTGTAAAACGAAAAATACCTTTCTATTTCTATTAATAAAAATCGACAGTGATGACGTGTGTAATATTTTTATCATACAGTCATACAGTTACATGAAATGTATGTAACTGTATGACTGTATGTAAATACACACATTTATATAAAACAAAACAAAAAACACTTCAAACAAGGCCCGGTTGACAAAATAAAAAAATCACGGCCTTCCGGATTAAAAATAGCCTAAAACAGTGCAGGGTCGTAGCGGAAATCGTAATTTAGTAGAGATTCTATACAGAGGGCCGTGAAAAAATTGGACGGAGAGGGGTGGGATTTTTACTATGAGTGGACGTGGTTGACCCAAAGGTACCTTCAACATTCAATCTCATTGGCACTTAGGCGACGCTAGGTCTTCGTCTTGACGAGTAATAAACGTATGCTTAATCTAATCCCGATCCGACTATTGGTTCAAAGGTTATGAAAGATTTGTGTTTGTACCAGTACTGGGTCAGCCTAGCTAAACGTAAGTATCATATCCATAGCGGTTCCATACCTAGCATACCTTTCTCGCATTATAGCAGACTACTTTAATGGTCTATGGAGGAATTATATGTGCACGTATAGCGAGTCTGGACGTGTATTTACTATTTCAGGTATTTACGTACCTCACATTCTCACTAGTACAGAAGTTAGTGGTTAGAATATTAGGTACCCAAATTAGGCGTCTAGACTCGCTAAGTATACGCGCACATACATATATTTAAATATATTCCCCCTTAGACCATTTTAAAAGTAGTTTGCTATAATGTGTAGCCAGAAAAGTCTATACTCTCTATTAGGTACGGATGGACTTGTATTTATAAAGCTTATTGAACCAATAGTCGCCGTCAGACTCGTCAAGACGAATAATTTGTGACGTCTAAGTGCTAACATTGGACGGAGAAGAGGGCGGGATTTCTACTATAGAGAGGTTGACTCAGATGTAACTTATGTTGTCAGTCAAAAGAATATATTTGTAATAAAAAAATAAAAAACACCAATGTCACCGACTTTTTGTATATATAAATTATATATTAATATAGAGTACATATTTATGTAAATATTTACAGCTGGTAAATATAGTAAATAACAATATGTTTTTATATTATTATTATTTTTAAATGGTACATAAATATATATAAAAATACATTTTTTTTTTAAATAAACTGGACGAATCTTGAAGAAATCTTGAAGTCTTGAAACCACCACAAATAGAGCCACCGACACACGCCACCTACGGGTGCAGCCAACATCACACGCCACTAGTCCACCACTATTAGTACAAACTATTTACAGTTTTACACTTCCCACCCACCCACAATACATGTTCTAGCCAATCACTGGGTTCCAATGTTAAATTTTGACATTGGTAGTGTCAGAGGAAGCATGGTTGACACCAACTGCCACGGCCAGGCACAAAAGCATAGGGATAATATTATTTATTTCAAAAATGGCAAGTGTGTATGATACAATGTATGAACATATGGTATGGCTCTCATAGTCGCTGTAGTGGTTCAGGAAAGATTGATAGGAAGAAGTGGTCAGTACATTCCCGTTTGAAGCTTGGGCCAAGTGAGTCGACAATGGAAGATATGTGCTGAGTCAATTCGGGCCGGTGTTGACAAAACACTGTTACTATCTAATGTTCCGTATATTCGCTTGCTGACCTACTAAGTAGAGTATCCACCTCTGTGTTACGGATCGGGTCTGCGCCGTGTAGTGCCGCGGAATGGGTTAGTGCAGAGTACGAAATACCGAGGAGGACCAGGTTATCCGTCATAATCCGGTCGAGAAGCGAGGATGGGGGTAAGCCAATGCCGCACCAGACCACGGATGAATTCAGTATGTGTTGGCTGGCCTGGATCGAAAGTATCATAGTCGGAACCAAAAAGCGCGATGATTTGGTTTGAACCAATATTTGGAAGCAGTATTTCAACAGCGTGATTAGCCGGGGTATGGGGACCATCTGTTGATGTGCCAGGGATGGGTGAGGATACGGCTACTAAATACAAATTTAATAAAACAACAAACAATGAACCTTTCTCTCACATTTTCCTCCTATACATTTAACCCTTTCACAATTCACACCAGCAAAATCACTATTGTGTTTATTCCACACGCATCTACGTCTAGAGAGCCTACCACCGTCTATCACCGAAATGAAGGAAGTGTAAATAGAGGTCATAGATTCAAATTACCTGGTGGCGACTACGTAGATTTTAATGTAAAGGCCTTCGGTAACTGCGGTTGCCTGTCGTTGCTTGAAGACACGGTAATCCATGGGTACAATATTGAACAATTGTGGAATGAGACAACCAAAATATACACACTATTGCTCGCTGAATTGGTCCATGGAAAATTTGCAACTCAGTTAGGGTCGACATTGGAAGTGAAGTCGATCTTAACAAGTGGCGGAATGAGAAGCGAAATTATATTTCAATCGAATAAATCGATATACTTTCAATGTTGTACAATCACATCACAAACACATACAAACATACAAATGTATATATACAAATGTTTATATATGGTATGTAAATATAAACACGCTTGTATATATAT